ATTCCTGTTTGAATTTTACAGTCTTCCCGTGCGTCAACGTAATATGGATTAAGTGTTCGGTCGGATGATAAGATAGAAAAAAAAAAAATCGCTTCCACGAAAGACGAGCTGAGACGTCATTTTGCAAGCACCGTTTCACAGCGGCCATAAAAGAACGTGGCTAATAATCCGCGAGGATGCGATAACTCTGAGCCATACTTCGGCATTTCCGTGCGAAAGGAACCGTCCTGCGTAAAACGAATTATATATTGAATTATATACCGGAAAAGGAAAATTTTCTCATCGCCTCCTTTGTCATTTTATTATACGGTATCTCTGTCTCAATTTGAATTTCCCACTATTTTCAATAGTACTCTAAAACTTATTCGTGCTAAATTTCTGTGCATGATAAAATTATTTAATAGCATGACGAAAATTGTTTTCTCTAAAAATGAAAAGTGAGGAATTTCGTGTGACTTTCGGCAGAGTATGCGAACGAATCGGTGTCTTTACGACTTTAATAATTATGAAAGACAACATCCGATATTTGCAATGTTAAGTTCGACACTGTATAATGTAATAAGGTTGTACAGAGTTTTTTTATTTCTTTCAATGAAGCAAACGAGCGTGTTTCGAATAAATCATCCTTGGAGGCATCTAGTCGAACGAAATAAAAACCTGTTATAAAAAGTATCGACGTGATGAGCGCGAAAAATGTTTTCACAAAGGATGAAAGGAATAGGATGAAATATTCGTGAGAAAATTAAGCTGATTGCAGAAAATGTTCAATCAAACTCTATACCTCGCGGAAAGAGTTCTTTAATGAGAATCTTTGCGAGCTTCAAAGATTTAAAAAATGAGGAAACGATTTAATTAATTCTGAATCAATAATCAAACGAGTAGAATACTTACATTTATTTTCGTGCATTTATAATAACCATATTTTCATAGACCTGATTTCAGCGAAATATCTAAGATAACTTAATAATCTTAACAATCTAACTTAATTATTCAGAATGATCAATACATCTCTACGATTATCCGATTGTCTAATTTTAATATGTAACTTATCTCATTCGTGACAATTTTCACAATTTACGAAATCCAATAGAATAAAGACTAATAAACTTCATTAACACAAAATCCGGTTTCTTGTAATAAATAACGCACTACCAACAAAGACATACATCTTTTCAAACAAACAGACCATTATGCGTCGCCTATTGAAACCAGGGACGTCGCTATTGACACTCGATTAATATTTTCCGAATTTTTGACTGTCCCGTTTGCGCTGCGCGCCGCGTTCAGTAGTAATTATACCGCATTCAGACCGCTGAATAATTCGAGTCCTTCTGTTTGTACATTGTTCAAGGGACGTAGGCAGATGAATGCACGGAAGCGCGTACACCTAGTCGCAGTCAGATGATTGTTTGTACTCCACGGAATATCTTATGCGTCCTTTACAACTGACGTCGTGTTCTACACATTCGTAAGTGCGCTCGCTCCCGTGTCGCGCCATGTCGCCGGAAAGGGTACATTATACCTGCGCGACCTGCCCTCTCCGCGGAAGCATCGAAATTATATTGGAACCCTCTCCCGTTTTCAATCTTCAATGAAAATTGCAACAGGCCGCGCGAATTCGCTTATCGATCGCGCGCGGCGCGGGGAAAATATCTGACGATCGTCTTTTCAATCCGCCTGGGATTGTAAATCCCATTTTCAGCTTATACACCGGGAGCGAGTCCCGCCGGATCATTTCATATGTTACATGTCGGCTGAAAAAATCCCCGAGGCGAGTTTCTTTGCGAGTCTCACGGCACATTAGCTGAGCGAACTAATCGAATCTCGGTATAATTAAAATAAAATTCTTCCATTTTCCCGTCGAACCTGGCGCTCGTTCGATTGGCCCACTTTTTTTTTGGGTCGAACGTTCGAAATCTGTGAGTCGCCGGGCTGTTTGAAATTCTGCTGACGGTTCGATCGTATTGGGATTATACTGGTCCCTCGATTTACGCGGAGTATTTTTATGCGTCTCTTTCTACGCGATAAATTAGAACATTATTTACGCGGTAGTTTTTATGCAGGATCTGTGTTTAGTAACGCTGAATAAAGTGTACTCTTGTTTTCTGGTATGTTGTTACTGTTAACACCAAAAGTACAGAGCAATTAAAACAACATATCTCTAATTTATTATAAAAATTATAGTATCACGTTTCTTGAGATTCGAAGGGTCTCTTAGTGTTATCTATACAAATACACAAAGTTAATTAAAGATCTCTCGCAAAACCACCTTCGTAATTTAAATACAAAATAAATATTCTGCGTGAGTGAATTTCACTCGTCCAGTACTTTCAGCGTTGACGAATACCAGTTTTAAAATAATCAGTCGACAAGGTAGTAACACATCGCCGGTATTTTTACGAATCGGGCAGCCGAGAAACACGAAAACGGTTAATTCACCGAAAATGAACTGATCGCTCCCGATAAAACGTTACCTCGAGTACAGGCTATTTTTCCTAATTAATGGCGATTGAACTGCTTTACGGAAGCGGACGATCGGCAGTCTCGTTCCTCCGTTTCGCCAGGTAGGTAATATTTGTAATTAAAGACAAACCGAACGACCGTAACGCGGAACGCTTGGATATGGAGGTTTCATATTGGCACGTTATATTCATGAGTCGGTATTTCCGGTACGGCGGGCTACGAAAAAAAGGGTGCACGTTGCATGCAATATTGTACCGCGTACAAGAAATACGTTGGAGACAATAGTAAATT